ACAGAATAGGAAGGACAAGAGACCTCTTCCAGAAAATTAGAAACATTGGAGGTAAATTTCAGGCAAAAATTGGTATGATAAGAAACAAATATGGCAGGGACCTAACAGAAGCTGAAGAGATCAAGAGAAGGTGGCGAGACTATACAGAAGATCTGTATAGGAAGGATAATAATATTGAGGATAGTTTTGACGGTGTGGTGAATGAATTAGAACCAGACATCCTGAGGAGTGAGGTTGAATGGGCCTTAAGACGCATTGCTAACAACAAGGCAACAACGGGATCCCAGCTGAACTATTTAAAATCTTAAAAGATGATGCTGTCAAGGTGATGCATGCCATATGCCAGCAAATATGGAAAACACAAGAATGGCCATCAGACTGGAAAAAATCAACTTATATCCCCATACCAAAAAAGGGAAATGCGAAAGACTACTCAAACTTCCGTACAGTGGCCCTTATTTCTCATGCCAGTAAGGTAATGCTCAAGATCCTGCAAGGAAGACTCCAGGGAGCGAGAGTTGCCAGATGTTCAAACTGGGTTTAGAAAAAGTGATCACCGAATTAGACAGAGGTAATATAGTTCCGGGGGGGGAGGTGTTCAAGCTGTGTTTGAAAGGAGAAGGGCATGTGAGTGTGGGTGCGTGGTGCGCTACGCGCGATGTCGCGCTGGCCGTGCTGGAATATTGGGGATCAAAGGCAGCGCGTAGTCAGAAACAGCTAATTGCTGAACTTCTTGACGTGATTCTAAAAGCCTTATGACTGTTATCAATAAGGAGGGGGTGGCCAAGAGGTCGTGGGGATGTGGACGGTACACACACAGAGCCTTTTCCTGGTCGTCCTGGGGTCGGGCAAGACCAGGGCACTCAGAACGGACGCCACCAACGGTGGTGAGGGGGAAAGGATAACGCAGGGGCGCGACGCGCCACAACCGGGGAGGGATGCAAAAACATCAGGACGGGGGCGCGGAGGAAGCAAGAGGCGGGAAGGGCGAAAGCATGAAAAAAGAGAAGGCAATGAACCCACAGGAGGAAGAAAGCGGGGGCGAGCCGCGGTGGTAGGGGGGGGTCAAGAGGGGATACGTCGCGTCTCCGACGCTGCGGACCGCAGGGACACCCACGCACTCCGGCGCCGGTACCACGGAGCCCAGCTCGACCGCGAGGGCAGGCATCACGGGGGGCAGGATAACCATCATACTCGGCCTGGCGCCCCCCTCTCGTCCGGGGAAGGCCACGTGCAACCAGAGAAGGGGCGGAGAGTAGACTATGCACTAGATCGCCTCGGGGGCCTGCTCAATGGTCTTCTAGACGGGCAGCGACAGGGACAGGGCGCGGGGGCCGGGAAACTGTTGCTGCGCGCAGTTCCGAGGCCTACTCAGAGTTTTCCGCACCACGCGTCAAGCAGCGGAGCGGCCGGCGGCAGCACCTGCCCTAAAGTCAGCGCGCACAGGCACGTAGTTACGACAGAATAACCAGGGCATTACTTCGGCTCTGTGCAGCTGGTCTCTACGCGGACGAGGTTACGGATTGGCAGGGCTCTCCCCCAAAGTAGCGGCGGCCGGAGTGCCGCGACAGGCTGCAGCTGCAGAATCGTTGCCCAAAAGACAAATCTGTCACGGCCCGCCACGTGTCCGCCCGCGATGTGCCGTGGTCAATCGGCTTAGTGGCAATAATCTGGGTGGACGGGAGCGGCAGCCCCTGGGGGGCTGGCTTCGGCTTGCACGATGATATAAGAAGGCTCCTCGCTCCGCCGCGCTGGCGGGGCAGAAAGGGGGTCAGCAGCATGCGGGGTGATGTCGGCCACAAGTGCCACCGGTCAGCGTTGCATGCATCCAACCCCAACAGCGGCGAGGGGCGCAGACGGAAAAAGGGTGGTGAAAAGCGACGGCCCGGGGACAAGGGCCCAGCTGGAACCTGAGGGGTCAAGGGGCAGTATATACGGGGAGGTGCGACGGGCGCGGACGATTTCCTCAGAAGAGCGGGCTTGAGCCGCCCAAGAACTTGGCCACAATTTATATAGGATCACACAGTCAAACATCACTGGAGAATAGCAATAGAAGCGATAGATGGTGGTACTGACTCCCCTGCCTGTCGCCAGGAGCCCAGATGGCAACTGTGCTCGCGTCGTGTCCTCGACCGTGCGAAACCCCGGAACAGCTGACAACGCGCCGCTCCTACTGGATTGCTGAGGCTTTCACTGGCGGCTGGAGCGGTCACCTTACCGGCAGGAAAAGAAGGCCCGGTACAGCAGTGTGTGGCACACTTGTACGGGCAGTGCCTGTTGGGGAGGAAGAGAGTGGGGGCCAGCTGAGGGCCAGTCTTGGGGTCCATAGGTCTGTCGCAAATGCATGAGCACCTTACAGGCACATCTTAGGGAGGGAACTAGTCACTAGGGGCCCTCATCTCCTGCTGGCCTGGTGGTGAGCAATCTTGCTGACCCAGTCAACCGCCTCATCGGTCGGGGCGAAGTCTTCCCACCCGGTCAACGAGCCGCTTTAGGAACGGCCATACTAAAAGCTTCTGAGCGGCCTCGCCACCGGCGCGGGACTCTGCAGCTGCGGGGGCCCTGCCATACTGGATTGCGGATCATGAAACACAAATGTGGCCGAAGATGTACCTCCATTTGCAGTTTTCTGGAAGAGGTCTCTTGTCCTTCCTATTCTGTTGTCTTCCACTTCCATGCATTGCTTATTTAAAAATAGTTCCTTATCTCTTCTGGCTAACCTCTGGAATTGCGCATTTAACTGGGCATATCTCCCCTTTTCACTGTTTCCTTTTGCTTTCCTCCTTTCTTGGGCTACTTCCAGTGTCTCAGCAGACAACCATTTTGCCTTCTTGGTTTTCTTTTTCTTTGGAACGTACTTTGTTGCCGCCTCCTGAACAATGTCGCGGACTTCTGTCCATAGTTCTTCTGGGACTCTGTTTGGACTATCGCGGGCTTCAAAGCCGGGCGTCCTGTCCCTGTTAGTCCTAGGAAGGAGGGTAGTGGATCAGAGCAACTGGGCTGGTAATCGAATCAAATACGAAAATAACTGTAAAATATTTATTTACTGGCAGGAAGCAGCCTGCCAGTAAATAGGAGGAGGAGGAGCTGAGGAGCCTTCTAATCAAGGTGAAAGAAGAAAGCGCAAAAGCCGGGTTGCAGCTAAACGTCAAAAAAACCAAGATTATGGCAACAAGAATGATTGACAACTGGAAAATAGAGGGAGAAACCGTGGAGGCCGTGACAGACCGTGTATTTCTAGGTGCAAAGATTACTGCAGATGCAGACTGTAGCCAGGAAATCAGAAGACGCTTACTTCTTGGGAGGAGAGCAATGTCCAGTCTCGATAAAATAGTGAAGAGTATAGACATCAGACTGGCAACAAAGATCCGCCTAGTCAAAGCCATGGTATTCCCTGTAGTAACCTACGGATGTGAGAGCTGGACCTTAGGGAAGGCTGAGCGAAGGAAGATCGATGCTTTTGAGCTGTGGTGTTGGAGGAAAGGTCTGAGAGTGCCTTGGACTGCGAGAAGATCCAACCAGTCCATCCTCCAGGAAATAAAGCCCGACTGCTCACTGGAGGGAAAGATACTAGAGACAAAGTTGAAGTACTTTGGTCACATCATGAGGGAGAACCTTTTACTTAGTCTTTACTGTCAGAGAGGCTAGGGAAGGCTGAGCGAAGGAAGATCGATGCTTTTGAGCTGTGCTGTTGGAGGAAAGTTCTGAGAGTGCCTTGGACTGCGAGAAGATCCAACCAGTCCATCCTCCAGGAAATAAAGCCCAACTGCTCACTGGAGGGAAAGATACTAGAGACAAAGTTGAAGTACTTTGGCCACATCATGAGGAGACAGGAAAGCCTAGAGAAGACAATTATGCTGGGGAAAGTGGAAGGCAAAAGGAAGAGGGTCCGACCAAGGGCAAGATGGATGGATGGCATCCTTGAAGTGACTGGACTGACCTTGAAGGAGCTGGGGGTGGTGACGGCCGACAGGGAGCTCTAGCGTAGGCTGGTCCATGAGGTCACGAAGAGTCGGAGACGACTGAACGAATGAACAACAACATAATTAAGTTTTATTTGATTGCTTGTATTTTGTTTTTCATCTTGATGTCGATTCTTTTTGCTATAAGTTTACTGTCATTATTCTGTATTATTCTTTATTATTCAGAGGTGTTTGTATTTATAGAATCATAGAATCAAAGAGTTGGAAGAGACCTCATGGGCAATCCAGTCCAACCCCCTGCCAAGAAGCAGGAATATTGCATTCAAATCACCCCTGACAGATGGCCATCCATCCATTTGTTTCAGGGCATTGAATGTTTACCTTTTTTGTGTGTAAACTGCCCTGAGTCCCCTTGGGGTCTATAAAGTTTATTATTATTATTATTATTATTATTATTATTATTATTATTATTATTAGTAGTAGTAGTAGTAGTACTTTTTATCATATAAGGGACATACAAGCATTGCTTGTTGTAGTGACTGGAGGGAGTGAGGGAAAAACACATGAGAATAATCTGCAATAGTAATAATCATAATAATCATAATATTACACTTTATTTATACCCCCCCCCCCCACCATCTCCCCAAAGGGGATTCAGGACTGCTCACATGAGGCCAAGCCCAAAAATACAAAACAACAAAAAAATACAAGGCAACAAAAAAAATTACATCAGGATCTAATACATAAAGTGACAAAATAAAATAAACAGTGGAAAATAACATAATGGAAAATGGAACACAGTGGGCAGACCAAATGTACAAGATAAAATGATAAATGATAAAACCCTGCGTGAGATAGGAGAGGAAAAAGTGTATTTTGAGGGGAAAGCTCATAAGGGAGGAACAGTGAGGTTAGACCTTCATTAAGGACAGGGGAAGTGCATCATGAGGACAACACTGTAGATGAGCAGAACAAGATGGGATGTATGGGCACTCTCCAAAGGCACATCAGAAAAGCCAAGTTTTTAAAAAGTAAAGTGTTTAGTAATTCTATATATCTCTGCCTCTTCATTTTCAGATGTTTCCATTGATGTTCCAGGATATGGAAAAGTAGTTGTTGATGTTGGATATGGTGGCGCTTTCTATGCATTTCTCAGTGCTGACCAGTTGGGACTTGATGTTTCTTCTTCGAAAATTCAGGATCTGATTGATGCAGCATCTGCAGTAACTGAAGCGGTAAAGTCTCAGGTACTATTCTGTCTTCCTCTATTCTACTATAGTTCCTCTTTGTGTCATGAATTTGCCATGGAATTGACTTAGCCCATGTTTTGGAATTGTGTTGTCCAGGTCTTGCACCCAAAAAAGGCAGAGGAAATTATCAATATACATTCATGCGTTTAAAATGTTATCAGAAAAAAGCATGTTTGAAATTAATGGTTGTAAGATACATTTTGGAAGAAGATTTTGCAGAGTGATCTTGCTAAAACTATTTATACTTGTAGACATATAGGACCTTAAATTCCATTGCACTGCCATGCTAATTGTATAGACTGAAAAGAGGGAATGGATATAATACAGCTATCCTAATGCTGCATTTTTCTGGTTATGTTTTATTCAAAATTTGATTATTTTAAAATATTTCTAGTTCAAAGTTCACCATCCTTTAATTGAAGATGTGGCTTTCATCTATGGAACTATACTGACGGATGGAAAAGACAAATTTAGCGATGAACCAACAGTCAACATATGCGTGTTTGCAGATGCACAGGTAGAACTTTCGGGCTTCCCTAAATGGTTTATATAGACATTGTGCACAGAGGAGCAATATGGGAGGGGTTTCATGTAAAACCAATAGAAGTGAAGTGACTGTCCAGGTGATGTTGCACTGCAAATCCCAGCAGCTCTAGCCATTGCGAGAAATGCTAAGAGGTGCCGTCCTGTTAGTGATTTGCATAGGTGGCCAGAAATCTGTGAGTTTGCCATTTCCTTGGAACTGGACAAAGTGGGCTAAACCCAACCAGACAGAGGAGTGAATCAGTGGACCTCACAGAAGTACCAACTTAACCATTTATTTCTTCCTTTCATGGGCACAGAATGTAAAAATTGTACTTATGAGCAGAAGCGACAAAGCTGCTCCTTCTTAAAGTGACAGGTTGCTATGTGCCATTATGTCTGAACATAAACATAATATGTAGATTTGCACACCAAAGCAAGTGCAGCTTTGGAGCATGCATGTTTGGTAAATTTGGATAATTTGATGATAATAATGCTGCTAATTCACATTTGTCAAAGAACTGAGTAATGAAGTTCCACAATACAACAATCCATGTCTTTCTAACCAGGTTGACCGCAGTCCTACTGGGTCGGGTGTGACTGCTCGCATTGCCTTACAGTACCATAAAGGACTAATTCAACTGAACCAGACCAGGACCTTCAGAAGCAGTTCAACTGGCTCCTTGTTTACTGGAAAAGCAATAAAGGCAAGACCTAAAGTCTTGTGGGATTTAGAGGTCTGAGGGGGATGTGAAAAATCTCATAATTCATTTAGATAAAAATAATGCCTGTTATTCTGTTTTTAACATGAGGAGGCAGGTTTTATTGCATGGTGCTGTTACATTAATTTGAATTACAGCTGGTTCTTTCTACTTAAAATAGCATCTCTTTTGAGTATGTATTAGCTGTATATTTAAGCCAAGTAGGTGAAATTCAGTGTTGTGTGAGTAGAAAGCTAATTCATGCTCAACTGATAGTCCCTGTATTGAAAAAATATCTCCAGAAAGTCAGGGGAGTCTGCCGGTAGGCCTACAGAACATTATTAAATGTTCATTGGGTCTCAACAGGGAGGAGGGAATGCTCCCCCCCCCCTCGAGGGTGAGAAGGGCAGGGTACAAGTGTATGAAATAAATAATAAATAAAATCAATTTTGGGAAAGAGTATTTATACTTCTTGAAATATGTTTTAGATATTTGCAATTTCCCCTTCCACTACAGCCTGGAACAAACCTATTTCAAAACATTTTGTAAAGATTTTGGATCACAGGAGAAAGTAAGGGAGTAGGTCAGAAGAAGATTGCAAAAAACTGAATTTCATCCAGTCTATTCCTTTCTCTTAGTTTTTAAGTTTGGTTTTCAATTTGGAACAGCTTATGTTGTAAAACTAGTCATAATTTACCAGGTTTAATTCAAATCATTTTCTTTCGATCCAGGAATCTAAATGTGGAGATCACAATGCTGTTATAGTAGAAGTGGCTGGAGAGTCCTTTTACACGGGAACATCAACATTCACTCTTGAAGAGGAGGACCCTTTGAAATATGGATTCTTTCTGAAGTAATTGCTACTCTTGGGGATGGGAGAGGTGGCGGGCTGGCGGATGGCTGGCAGGGAGCGTGCCTCCGAGCCCTGGGTGTAGACTGGGCCCTGGTGGGGAGGAGGGGTCTCGGGGAAGGAGAAGGGCCAGCAGCGCCCCTTTGGCCTCCCTCCCCACCAGGAGGGCCTGGAGCGCTCCCTGCTTGCGCCACCTCCCTCCCTGGAGCCCGGCTCTGGCCCCGCCTCCACCTGGGATAGTGGCGCAGCTGGCAGACCCAAGCCCTATTTCCTTGGTGGATGGTGAGGCTGCCTCCTCACCTGAGACCCTGGCCTGACCCCACCTGGGAGGGGCACCCTGAGTGCAGGGAACAGCCGAGGCGGGACCAGGCAGGGCTCCTCACAGGCCTCCGCTTTGCAGGCCCATATCACAGCCTGCTTCTCCGCTGCCTGCAGCGCCCTCCTTTCTCCGAGGGCCCACAGGGTGTGTGTAATGAACCCTTACCTTTAGCAGCCAGAATGTGGGGCCTAGCGAAGCCCCTGCAGCCATTTTGGATTAGGGAAACAGGGAGATGCCATCTTAGGTTAGGTTTTCTTAGAGGGGGCGTGTCCTTGTTAAGGAAGCAAAGAGTAGATGGCCAGGATTGGTTAGGAATAGGGGGCGGAGCCTAATATTCAGATAAAGAAAAAAAGTGTACCTTTTGAATTTTTGAGGCTTGAGTTGGCAGTTGGGTTTTGTCGGTTGGGGAGTTAAGGTAGTCAGTTGGTGTTAACAGTTGGATAGTACTAGATAGGAGAACTGGGTTAATCTTTTGTAGTATTCAAGGTCTAGAGGAATTGGCCAAGAATACTGACAGGGAACAGCACCTTGCTTATGGTCTGTTTCTTTTATCCTTGAGGAAGGCTAGGCCAAAAGGGTTCTTTGGCTAGATTCCAGAAAGGAGGAATTTGGTTTGGAATTATCTTCAGAGATTAATTTCCTGAGATAATCTCCTGTTTGTTAACTCTAGATTTGAATCCAGTCCCCATCTAAGAATGGTACATCAAACGTAAGCAAAAGCTTTTGTGCCATTAACTTACAGAAACCAATACACATTTGTACCAGAAGAGTTTAAGCCTGTTAAATAAACGTTTTATTATAGTTAACACATTACAACAGCCTGTGTGTGAACGTCATTGGTATTTAAACCCTCTGAGGGAAAACCCCATAGTGAACAGAAGGGTGTTACTAAGTATCCTCTCCACACACATAACTCAGCCTGAATACTAAGTAAAGGTGGCAGCATACCCCAATTGAAGAAACAGTTACAAAACCTCTCAGTTCAGACATCATTCAAATATATATATATACACAGTTATATCTTTCCCTGTTTTATCAACTTCTTTCCTGTGAAGTATCTTTATAGGGTGCCTTGAAGGGGGGGGGGAGTTGACATCCTGTAGAGCTCCTCACAAGGAAGACTGCAGAAAAAAGGAAAGAACCATAGGATCCCATTAAAGGAGTGGTTTTACAACACCATAAAGTAAAAAGATCAGAAAATGCCAGCGACCAAAAAAAAGGAGGAAGTCCTGATGGCTCTTCGGTTAAAGTGTTATTATTATTACTACTACTATTGTAGATTAGTCTCTCATCAAAGGGGTACATGCTCTTTTTAGTCATCAAAACATCTATCTTTCATTGGTATAATCCTCTCTTTTACTAGTTAACACCCAAATTCAGAGTTAACTGAAAAGCCTAATTACAGCATTGGGGCATTTTTAGGATGAGCTAAGCATGTGTTTATATGTGACAGAGGTTTGGACAATGATATCTCCCATCCATTACCAGAGTGTGTGATTTCCTGTTGTGCAGGGCACTGTCCAGATTGGGTCTGGTACAATTCTGTTTCATGTAACAAGATAAAACCTTTTAAAGAGAGTAATAATCCAAAATTTAAATATTTGCAAAGAAAAATAAAAACAAATAATGATGCATATATTAAAGAACTTTTAAAAGGACACAATAATTAAGTATTTTCTCCAGCATAATTGTCTTCTCTAAGCTTTCCTGTCTTGTCATGATGTGGTCAAAGTACTTCATCTTCGCCTTTAATATCCTTCCCTCCACTGAGCAGCTGTGCTTTATTTCCTGGAGTATGGACTGATTTGATCTTCTTGCGGACCAAGGCACTCTTGGAATTTTCCTCCAAAACCCCCAAAGCATTTCCCTTCACTCAACCTTCCTTGTGGTCCAGCTCTCACATCCATAGGTTACTACAGGGAATACCATTGCTTTAACTATGCGGATCATGGTTGTCAGTGTGATGTCTCTACTCTTCACTATTTTATTAAGATTGGTCATTGCTCTCCTCCCAAGAAGTAAACCTCTTCTGATTTCCGGGCTGCACTCTGCATCTTTGTGCTTAGAAATATGAAGTCTGTCTCTGCCTCCAAGTTTTCTCCCTCTACTTGCCAGTTCTCACTCACTACCATCATCTTGGTTTTTTTTATATTTAACTGCAACCCAACTTTTGCACTTTCTTCTTTCACCTTGGTTAGAAGGTTAGAGGATCCGCATAGTTAAAGCAATGCTATTTCCCATAGTCATCTACGGATGTGAGAGCTGGACCATAGGGAAGGCCGAGCGAAGGAAGATAGATGCTTTTGAACTGTGGTGTTGGAGGCAAGTTCTGAGAGTGCCTTGGACAGCCAGAAGATCCAACCAGTCCATACTTCAGGAAATAAAGCCTGATTGCTCATTGGAGGGAAGAATAGTAGAGGCCAAGATGAAGTACTTTGGCCACATCATGAGGAGACAGGAAAGCTTAGAGAAGACAATTATGTTGGGGAAAAGGGAAGAGGGGCCGACCAAGGGCAAGATGGATGGATGGTAACCTTGAAGTGACTGGATTGACCTTGAAGGAACTGGGGGTGATGACGGCCGACAGGGAGCTCTGGTGTGGGCTGGTCCATGAAGTCACGAGTCGGAAACGACTGAATGAATGAACAACAACAGAAGGCTCCTCAGTTCATCCTCACTGTCAGCCATCAAAGTGTTTTATTTATTTATTGTGTCAGGAGCGAACCAAACAGCTGTATTGTATTAAAACACCCACACACACACACACACAAAGTTTGCAAACTTGGCATTCTATTAAATGTCCTTTGACCAGTAGCTGGCCAGATGGAGTGTTTCTGGTGTGGCTATAAGAAGGTCCTCCATTGTGCATGTGGCAGGGCTCAGGTTGCATTGCAGTAGGTGGACTGTGGTTTGCTCTTCTCCACACTCACATGTCATGGACTCCACTTTGTGGCCCCATTTCTTAAGGTTGACTGCATCTCGTGGTGCCAGAGTGCAGTCTATTCAGTGCCTTCGAAGTCACCCAGTTTTCTGTTTGCCCAGGAGGGAGTATCTCATTTGGTATCAGCCATTGATTGAGGTTCTGGGTTTGAGCCTGCCACTTTTGGACTCTTGCTTGCTAAGCTGTTCCAGTGAGTGTCTCCGTAGATCTTAGAAAACTATTTCTTGATTTAAGTCAAAGGGGTATATCTAAGGTTGATCATGTTTCATCCAGCAATTTCAACTCCAGCCTTAGATTCATCAAACCTCGCACATCGCATGATGTGTTCTGCATACAAGTTGAATAGGTTGGGTGGGAGTATACAACCCTGCCATATGCCTTTCCCAATCTTGAGCCAGTCTGTTGTTCTGTAATTTGTTCTTATTGTTGCTACTTGGTCATTATGCAGATTCCTCTTGGTATCCCCATACCACCACAAACATGCCACAATTTATTATGATCCACACAGCCAAAGCCATTAGAATCTCTATAAATAAAAATGTAATGCTCGTTTGTGGGATTAACATAATTCAAAAACCACTGGACAAATTGACACCAAATTTGGACACACTACACCTATCAGGCCAACAAGTGACCATCACTCATAAAAACACTGAAAAACAGCAGAAAAAACTTTTAAAAAATTACAATGCATGCACAAAACCATATATATATATATAAGCAAACACACATATTAAAGGTAAAGGTTTTCCCCTGACATTAAGTTCAGTTGTGTCTAACTCTGAGGTGTGGTGCTCATCTCCATTTCTAAGCCAAAAAGCCGGTGTTGTCCATAGACACCTCCAAGGTCATATGGCCAGCATGACTTCATGGAGCACTATTACCTTCCTGCTGGAGCGGTACCCATTGATCTACTCACATTTGCATGTTTTCGAACTGCTAGGTTGGCAGAAAGGAGATTCCATCTGAACATGAGGAAGAACTCTTTGCCCCGGAGTGTGGTGGAGGCTCCTTCTTTGGAAGCTTTTAAACAGAGGCTGGATGGCCATCTGTCAGGGGTGATTTGAATGCAATATTCCTGCTTCTTGGCAGGGGGTTGGACTGGATGGCCCATGCAGTCTCTTCCAACTCTTTGATTCTATGATTCTAATTTTTTTCAGGGGGGGGGGTTCGGGGGGGGGGGCTGAGTGCGGAGTGAAAGAGGGTCTAGCCTAGCAAACCTTTTGTATCATTACCCCAATACCCCCATGCATATGGGATATATTGAGTATGGTGATCAGATCATGATATGAATAAACATAACAGTTTAAATAATGCACCAGTAAGGCCTTTTCGCGAACCACCATCAGAATTTCGGGGGGGGGGGGGGGCTGAAGCCCCCAAGCCCCCCCCCCCCCCCCGCTACATGCCTGGTCCATGAGGTCTCTTCCAACTCTTTGATTATATGATTCTAAGTTCAGCAGCTCAGTGCTTTAACCCACTGCAACACCGGGAGCTCCTAATACACAAATATATGCACACAAAAAACATATATACACAGACTGGGCCACAGCAACACATGGCAGGGGACGGCTAGTAGTCAGTAAAACAGAAATAGATGTTTCTGTAAAGGTGCCAGGCAGAAAACATCCCTGGTGCATGCATGCAGAAAAAACAGCAGACACCTGTGGCATGCCAGTTTTGGCCTTGGCAGGAGCTCCCCCTGCTGGACGGAAGGAAGGCTGCGCCCAGCCTGGAGGGAGGAGGCCAAGGGATGGATGGAAGCCCCCTCCCACGGTTTCCCGGGACAACGGGGCTGCAGCGACGTCACCGGCAGGAGGGCTCCCCGGCCAAGCAAGGCAAAGGAGGCGTAGGCGGTGGCCGACTCGCCAGGACTGGGCTGTGCCTTGGCCCCGAACCTCGCCTGGCTTGGCTCCCTTGCAGCACCGCATCTCCAGGAGCATCCTGAGCCAGCCTCGGTGCAAGCATCTCTTCCCTGGATTGGCGCGCCCTTCCTGCCCATTCCTCGCGGGGGCGCCAGAGAGCAACTTTCCTCCTCCTCTCTCTGTCTCCATCCTCCTTGCTTGGGTTGTCTTCTTTCTTGCCTTCCATAAGCATTGAGCAGCAGAGGCAAGTAACAACAAATAGAAACCATTGTCATTATATTATTTCATTATTATATTATTATTATTATATATATTATATTATATTATATTATATTATTATACAAACATTTTTCTAATATTATATTATTATATATCATAATTATATATTATATTATACATTATATTAGTATATTATTATTATTATTATATTATAATTATTATACAAACATTTTTCTAATATTATATTATTATATATCATAATTATATATTATACATTATATTAGTATATTATTATTATTATATTATAATTATTATACAAACATTTTTCTAATATTATATTATTATATATAATAATTATATATTATACATTATATTAGTATATTATTATTATTATTATTATTATTATTATTGCTTATAGTATGCTCTCAGTTAACAGGCACCTATGGGGAAGTTGGTTGATGCCATACCTTTAATGTTGTTTCTAGTTGCTTGAGAGTTACTCCTAGTATTTAAAAAAAGGCCTAACTAATACTACACCCCATGCTATATCATAAATATCATGTATTGACACTTGATATTCATGGCAATTGAAACAATTCATGGCAATTGAAGCAATTTGAAACCTTTTATCATTTCAGTTTTATAATATAATTATATTATAATTATACAATTATACATTTTTTCTAATATTATATAATTATATATTATAATTATATATTATCCAGTATATTATTATTATTATTATTATTATTAATAATAATAATAATAGTATGCTCTCAGTTAACAGGCACCTATGGGGGAGTTGGACGATGCCATACCTTTAATGTTGTTTCTAGTTGCTTGGGAGTTACTCCTAGTATTAAAATCAGGCCTAACTAATACTATACCCCATGCCATACCATAAATATCATATATTGACACTTGATATTCATGGTTACTAAAAGCAATTTGAAACCTTTTATTATTTCAGTTTTATAATATAATATAATTATATTATAATTATACATTTTTTTCTAATACTATATTATTATATATTATACAGTATATTATTATTATTATTATTATTATTATTATTATTATTATTATTAATAGTATGCTCTCAGTTAACAGGCACCTATGGGGGAGTTGGTCGATGCCATACCTTTAATGTTGTTTCTAGTTGCTTGGGAGTTACTCCTGGTATTAAAAAAGGTCTAACTAATACTATACCCCATGCTATAAATATCATGTATTGACACTTTATATTCATGGTTACTAAAAGTAATTTGAAACAGAAACAAACATACAGTATAATATAGTTTCTGGTTGCTTGAGAGTTGCCGTTAAAATGGTGCCTAACTAATAGTATATCCCATACTATTACTATACCATAAACTCTGTTGAATGGTTACTAAAAGCAATTTGAAACAAAAACGAACACACAGTATAATATAGTTTCTGATTGTTTGAGAGTTGCCATTAAAATGGGGCCTAACTAATAGTGTACACCATACTATTACTATACCATAAACTTTGCTCATTTGTTATTAGTATTGAAGTATAGTGATTACAATTAAGTTAAGACAAACCTAAATATAGTGTAAGACAGTTTCACTACACAATATGTAGGTACTTGCCCCTGCTGTAAGCCACCTTGAATCCCCTTCGGGTTCGAGAAGAGCGGGATATAAATATAGTAAATAAATAATAATAAATACTTTACATGATTTTGTATTATTGTTTAATTGAAGTATGTCAACTATTAGTTATTTTATATTTTTGACAGTTACTTGAGAGTTCCAGTTGCTTGAGTTCCAATTAACTGAGAATCGACTATATTTAAAAGTATTATTTCTTTGAAAACCTTTCCCTCTGGTTGCTTGAGAGTTCTGGTGCTTGAGTTCCTCTTAACTGAGAGTCTACTGTATATAAAGTATTATTACTTTAGTTTTCTTTCTTGGCCTGTTGCTCTCAGTCACGTGAGTTCTGGTTCAGTCCATTCAATGGAGTTGCCCACCCTACTGAGCAATGCATCTGGGAATGGCAATGGGAGCATGGACACTGGAGGGGCAAGTTGGGCACCAGACCCCAAGCGATGGAGCTCATCCGGGGCGGCGTTGGCCTCCCAAGCATTGCTCCTCCTCCTGATCTTCGCCCTCTCCGCCCTGGGCAACGGCGCCGTGGTGGGGGTCATCCTGCGGCACCGGCAATTGCGGACAGTCACCAATGCTTTCGTCCTCTCCTTGGCCTTGGCCGAACTGCTGGCCGCTGTGCTGTGCCTTCCACCAGCCTTCTTCAGCCTCCTCAGCGGCCCCTGGCTCTTCGGCCCACGCCTTTGCCTTGCCAGCGCCACTGTCCACGTAGGGCTTGGTGTCGCTGCCACGCTCACCATGGCCCTGCTCGCCTTTGACCGCTATTGTGCCATCGTCCGGCAGCCGCGCCACAAGATGAGCCGCCGCCGTGCCGCCCAGCTCTTAGCTGCCGTTTGGTTGACCTCCTTGGGGTTCTCCAGCCCTTGGTACCTACTAGCCCAAGACGAGGAAGAGGAGGAAGAACAGGTAGCCGTGCCTGATAATGTGGCATCTACCGCAACTGACCACTGCCTCTATGTCTTACCGTGGGGCTCTTCTCGGTTGGGAGCCTCCTACGGAGCCACCCTGATTATCATTTTCTACCTGTTGCCTTTCTCCATCATGTGTTTCTGCCACTACCACATCTGCCGAGCTGTCCGGTTGTCGGAGAGCCGGGTGCGGCCCCTCACCACTTACGGGCACCTCTTGCGCTTCTATGGTGAGATGCGGACAGCCACTACTGTCCTCATCATGATCGTCTCCATCATCTGCTGCTGGGGGCCCTACTGCCTCCTGGGGTTGGCCGCCGCCGTCGGGCGTCTCTCCTTCTCACCCACTTTGGACGCAGCGGCCAGCTGGATGGCTTGGGCCAACGGGGCTGTCAACCCCCTCATTTATGCTGCGCGCAACCCCAATATCTCGCTGCTCCTGGGCCGCAGCCGCGAAGGGGGCTACCGGACTCGGAACAACAACGTGGCGGCCTTCTTCGCAGCAACCAAGAGTCGACGCTTGGATGCCAAGGGCCGGGCCGAGTGCTATGCCAGCCATAGTGGGGTCACTGCCGGGAGCACCCTGACCTCCTCCAGCCCGGCCAGCGGAAATGAGATGGCCATGTGGGCCTGTAAAAACCCCGCTGTCCTCTTCTGCCGCGATGGGAGGCCTGGCGCGTCTTCTGGATGCCCACAGCCCAAATTGGCTACTTGTGATACAAGCCTTTGAAACAAAACAATGCCATGGGAGGCAACAAGGTAGCCAGTCACTGCTGGTGTAACAGTGCCAAGATCATCCTATTCAGGTGGGGTGAAAAATTATCCAAAAACCTTGTCTCCCAGAGGAAGAAAGAAGATCTTACAGAGAATATCACACCATGCTGTTAAAGCACTGCTATTCCATTCCGTGGTTCAGCTAGAGAAGACCCAGGACCTCTCTAGCAGACAATTTTAAAGGACCCTTCATAAACTAAAAATCCCAAGATTCTATATGAAGCAGGTATAAGATTTAAGGTGGAATAGCAGCACTTCGATACTGTACTGCAGGCATGGCAAACCAAGGCCCTCCCTCCAGGTGTTTTAGACTTCAACTCCCATAATTCCTAACAGCCTACTGGAGATTCCATCTGAACATTAGGAAGAACTTCCTGACTGTGAGAGCTGTTCAGCAGTGGAACTCTCTGCCCCAGATTGTGGTGGAGGCACAGTTTAGAAGAGTTTGGAAGAGTTTAAACAGAGGCTGGATGGCCATCTGTCGAGGGTGCTTTGAATGGAATTTTCCTGCTTCTTGGCAGGGGGTTGGACTGGATGGGCCATGAGGTCTCTTCCAACTCTATGATTCTATTCTATAATTCTAACCAAAACACCTGGAGAGAGGGCTCAAGTTTGCCCATGCCTGGTGTCGTGTGATAAGACCATCTACTAGTGAATCCGGGGGTGTATCCACAAGTGCACCATTTTTGCAGTTTGGTACGACTTTGGCTGCCACAGCACTGAGCTACGGAGTCCTGGAATTTGTAGTTTTCTGAGAGAGTTTTAGTAGACTTTAATCCAAGGGCTCTTTTTGTGGTCCCAAAGGGGTTCAAAAACCCCTCCCAAGTGCATCTACAGCGCAGAATTAATACACATAGATGCCCTTTAACTGCCATGACCCAATGCTATGGAATCCTGGGATTTGTAGTTTGGTGAGGCACATGCACTCTTTGGCAGAAAAGGCGAAACCTTGTAAAATTATCGTTCCCATGTTGCCATCGCATTGAACCATAACAAGTTGAAGCGCTGTCAGAATGGCATTAAAATTCTGCCATGTAGGTGCACCCTTGGCTAGTTAGCGGTCAGAGGTATGGGGAGAGGAATCATTCAGGTGACAAAGCATTGAAATCCTTGCTCTGATCCACTCCTCTGGACTGTAGCATTAGAGCCGTCTTGCAAAGGATGCTAGACTGCATATCCCGTGGAGAAAAACTGCAGCAACAGTGCACTGTGGATGCACTCCAGAAATAATTATTTTGGGGGGAAATGGATGCAAAGAAAACAATAAGGGTCAATTTCATCTCCTGGACTTTTTGTGTGACCGTTTTCCCCTTTTACAGAGCTGCACCTGTTAACTGTTATCTGCACCTGCTAATTTCTGCTCTAGGGTCTGTTACTTCTCAAGCTCTTGGGATAACAATGGTAGGCAGTGACTTCAATGTGTTTGGAGTAGTGAAGACCTTCTGGCTTTATGAGTGTGTTTACACTGCAGAATTAATGCAGTTTGGCACCACTTTAACCTCTGTGGCTCAATGCTATAGAATCCTGTGAGATGGTAATACAAGGTATTTCACCTTCTCTGTCAAAGAGGGTTGATGTAAGATTTCCAGGGTGTATGGCCATGTTCCGGAAGCATTCTCTCCTGATGTTTTGCCCACATGTATGGCAGGCGTCCTCAGAGGTTGTGAGGTCTGTTGGCAAACAACCTCTGAACCAATAGGATTTTGGCCTGCATCAATAGGAGCATAGTGTTTAGATCTAGGGAAGTAATGCTACCCCTCTATCCTGCTTTGGTTAGACCACACCTGGAATATTGTGTCCAATTCTGGGCACCACAATTCAAGAGAGATATTGACAAGCTGGAATGTGTCCAGAGGAGGGCGACTAAAAGGATCAAGGGTCTGGAGAACAAGCCCTATGAGGAGCGGCTTAAGGAGCTGGGCATGTTTAGCCTGAAGAAGAGAAGGATGAGAGGAGATATGATAGCCATGTATAAATATGTGAGAGGAAGCCACAGGGAGGAGGGAGCAAGCTTGTTTACTGCTTCCGTGGAGATTAGGACGCGGAACAATGGCTTCAAACTACAAGAGAGGAGATTCCATCTGAACATGAGGAAGAACTTCCTGACTGTGAGAGCCGTTCAGCAGTGGAACTCTCTGCCCTAGAGTATGGTGGAGGTTCCTTCTTTGGAAGCTTTTAAGCAGAGGCTGGATGGCCATCTGTCAGGGGTGATTTGAAGGCAATATTCCTGCTTCTTGGCAGAATGGGGTTGGACTGGATGGCCCATGAGGTCTCTTCCAACACCAGGATTCTATGGTTCTATGAAACATCAGGTGAGAATGCTTCTCGAACATCCCAGAAAACTCACAGCAACCCAGTGATTCCAGCCATGAAAGCCTTCGTCAACACAATACAATAGCCATGATTCCATAGCATTGAGCTGGGGCAGCATGACATTTCCCCCTTTGATGTTCTTGTTTCACCAATCCACCCACTATATAAAGAAGTATTTTAAAAAGACCCTTCCTGAGTTCTCCATTCCTTTATTCCAGTCCATTCCCAGTATTTTCTTGAACACCAGGCATCACTTCAATACAAAATTCAGTTTAATTTTGTTTCTTCCATCGGAATGGACTCTCGTACTGTTCATGCATTTCTCTTCTTCTCCAAGCTCAACATGCTTAGTTCCTCCAACCTTTTCGTAACTGGGTTGTTGTAGGTTTTTTCAGGCTATATGGCCATGTTCTAGAGGCATTCTCTCCTGACGTTTCGCCTGCATCTATGGCAAGCATCCTCAGAGGTCCAATACCTCTGAGGATGCTTGCTATAGATGCAGGCGAAACGTCAGGAGAGAATGCCTCTAGACCATGGCCATATAGCCTGAAAAAACCAACAACAACCCAGTGATTCCGGCCATGAAAGCCTTCGACAATACTTTTCGTAACTGTTTTGTTTCCCATAGTTTCAACCATCCTTTTTCTGAACATGCTCCAACTTGTCTATATTCTTCTTCCAATGAGGCACCCAGAATTGAACACGATGCACCAGATGAAGCAATGTTTCCCATGTAATGTTTTTGTGAGAACCAGATTGTCCAGCCTTGGCTCTCTGGCAACATTGAGGTCCTCCTATCCCAAGCTGGCTTTCTTCTCGATGCATTAGGTATGGTTGGGCTTCAACGTGATGCTGAAAATTTCTCTGTGTGTGGATATTATTATTTATCATCTGTATAGCATTGTTTGGAGATGTGCAGCTGAATGAACGATCCCAATTTTGGTGCTCAGGTGAATTGCCTTTGCATTGCACATACTTGGACTTGGTGCCACATGGCTCAGAACTTGCACATCGTTGACTGTCCATCATGAAACGTCAGCTCCAAATGAAGGAGAAAGAGAAGAAAACTGGACTTAAAATGGTCTCTGATGTCTAGTCAAAGAACAAGAAGCTGTATTGCACACTATGACAAATTTATTATCCGTTTTTTGTATTTTGTATATAAGTAGTGTTGGACTTAGATGGTTAGCCCAACTGAAGTAGACCTGTTGAATCAAGGAGACTATGGGCGCATAGACTGTCAAATTAATGCAGTTTGACACCACTTTAAGTGGCGCGGCTCAATGCTAAGTAAATACGGGAGTTGTATTTTGGTGAGGCACCACAACTTTTTTGCAGAGAAGGCTAAAGATCTTGTAAAACTACATCTCCCACAATTCTATAGCATTGAGCCATGGCAGATAGAGCGATGTCAAGCTGCATTTACTCCACAGTGTAGATGCACCCTTCGTGTTGTAGATTGACTCACCATTCAAGAGTTGGTTTTAGAGGAGTGGGGTCTGTTCTGTTTAGGAGTAAACCAATCAAATTCAGGCTGTCTTCTCAATGCCAAATCTGTGTGCTGTCTGTTGGGCAGTTGGCAATGGGTTGGATCAAGTTGGGGTTTCCTGAGCAAAGCTGTACAAAATTGTAAGAAATGTAACCCCCAAAGAGGAAAAGTGTATGCATTTGTATTTTTGGCAAGTATAATGTTATTTTGTTTTGTTAACCAAAAAAATAAACAAGGCTTTCCTGTTTTTCCTCCCTGCAAGTGATAGAAATATCTCCTTTTCTTAAAAGATTTGAAACCTTAAAAAGTGTCAAGCACACCACAATTAGCAATTCAAAGGAGTCAGCAAAGGGTGTGATGTTTTTTGTTGATTGTCTAATTTTCTTAGTAAAGGGGAAGTCTAGACCAGGCATGGGCCAACTTTGGCCCCCCCTCCAGGTGTTTTGGACTTCAACTCCCAGCATTCCTAACAGCCAGTAACAATCTTAATAGTTTAGAGATGGGCCAAAACTAACACAATGAAGTTCAACAGTGACAAATGCAAGACACTCCACTTAGGCAGAAAAAAATGAAATGCAAAGATACAGAATGAAGGATGCCTGGCTCAAGAGCAGTACGTGTGAAATTTATTTATTCATTTGTTTATTTACTTCATTTATATACCGCTTTTCTCAGCCCTGAGGCGACTCAAAGCGGTTAACAACAGCAATTTAAATACACACATTACAAAACCATTGGAGCATTTAAAAACAATAGCATAACAACAATTAAACATCAATATGACAAATCATTCACGTCTCATCAATAGAATCAGAATCCAATCTCATCATCCGTTATTCCGTGTTCCTATAATCAAGGGAGCCCCTGGTGGCACAGTGGGTTAAAGCGCTGAGCTGCTGAGCTTGTTGACCAAAAGGTCACAGGTTCGATTCCGGGGAGCGGCGTGAGCTTCCGCTGTCAGCCCTAGCTTCTGCCAACCTAGCAGTTTGAAAACATGCAAATGTGAGTAGATCAATAGGTACTGCTCCAGCGGGAAGGTAACGGCACTCCATGCAGTCATGCCGGCCACATGACCTTGGAGGTGTCTATGGACAACGCCGGCTCTTCGGCTTAGAAATGGAGATGAGCACCACACCCCAGAGTCAGACATGACTGGACTTAATGTCAGGGCACAACCTTTACCTAATCTATAATCAATTACACTGCCTAATCGAATGCCTGTTCGAACAACCAGGTCTTCACTTTCCTCCGAAATGCCAATAAGGAGGGGGCCGATCTGATATCTGTAGGAAGGGCGTTCCACAGCTGAGGGGCCACCACTGAGAAGGCCCTGTCT